CGCCTAAGGAAGTGTTCTTATTAGAGCAGCAAGAATTCCTCACACTCACGGAACCGTCTACACTTTCAAAACACTTGCCCGCATCTTCTGGTCCCTCAACAACCACACAGAGGGGCGGGCGCTGTGGCATGGTGGGTTAAGCCACCACCTGCAGTGCCAGCATCCTGGATGAGCACTGGCTCGAGTCCCAGCTGCTCCACTTCAGATCCAGTTCCCCACTAACGCTCCTTGGGAGACAGTGGAAGACGGCCCAGGTGCGTGGATCCCTGTCACCGACGTGGGAGACCCGGATGGAGTTCCTGGCTCCTGGCTTCTGCCTGGCCCAGACCCATCCTTTGCAGCCATTTGTGGGGTGAACCAGCAGAGGGAAAAGCACTTCCTCTGTCACTCTGCCTTTCAAATAAATAAATAAATCTTTAAAAACCACGGGAAAGAGCTAAGCATCTGGCTTATTTTACTATAGATTCCTGCATCCTAACAACTTCAGATGGTGGCATTTTCACAATGATCCGAAACTACATATCCCCTAAGCATGCATAGTTGCCCCTCAGCCCCTGAACCCCATGGACACTAAAGTCCCAAATGCGCAAGTCCTTTATGCAAAACGGAAGCCACCCTTCATTGGTGGGCTATAGTCTAAGTGGCCCCCCGGGTTCTGCACTCACAGCTGCTCTTCGGGCCTTCACTGCAGAGGGGGCGCTCCGAGCCAACAGGAGCCCACACCCCGCGCCCCCAGCTGCCTGACGGACCTCACAGCCAGCCTTGCCTAGGGCCGTTCTGGTTCTGAGGGACCCAGGGGCAGGGCCGGCTTCTCCCTCGTTATGGAGAAGGGCCTGGCCTTCAGCTGTGTTGGCGCAGGAGCCAGGCATATGTGAAGTCGTAAGCAACACAGCCCAGGGCCGCCCATGTAGGGCACCGCGTTCTTCCCGGGCGCTGTCCGGGATACCTCAAATGCCTAGTGACCCCCAATGAGCCCTGCCTCCTATGCCAATAAACCACGCCCCCAATGCCAGTGGATCCCACCTCCTATGCCAATGAACCAGGCTTTACATCCCGGCTCCTGAATAGGGCCAAACTATACTCTATCAAAGTCCAAACAATAGCTCACCGAGGAAAAAACCAGCTAGCCTTTATACAACCAAGAAAAAATGCGGAGGGTGGGGAGGCGGCACTGTGGTGCATGTTAATCCTCCACCTGTGGTGCCAGCATCTCATATGGGTACCGGTTCTAGTCCAGGCTGCTCCTCTTCCAATCCAGCTCTCTGCTATGGCCTGAGAAAGCAGTAGAAGATGGCCCAAGTCCTTGGGCCCCTGCACCTGCATGGGAGACCCAGAAGAAGCTCCTGGCTCCTGGCTTCGGATCCACCCAGCTCCGGCTGTAGCAGCCATTTGGGGGAGTGAACTAGCAGGTGGAAGACCTCTCTCTCTCTCCCTCTCATTCTACCTCTCAAATAAATTTAAAAACAAAAAGAAGTTGAAATGGATTCTGTGTGCACACAAGAGACAGTGTAGCAGAAACCAAAGGGGCTGAGCCTTTCGTCTTTGTTGGCACCAGGGGAGGGGTAGGGAGTCTTTCCTCCTTCAAAAGCACAGACTGGCACACAGTGATAAGAAATGACACAGAGACCCCTTCTGCCCTTCGCCCGGCTATAGAGTAATCCTACCATCCGGACAGGGTAACGGAAGGAAGTCTCTGGGTGGTGTCCAGCCTCAGCCATTCAGTAATCCACCCAGCTTCCCATGCACTGTGTGTGTGCACGCGTGTGTGTAGTGCTGTGAGGTTTTATTGCGTGTAGGTTTCACATGCACTTGGCTGTGTGTGTGCGCATGTGTGTAGTGCTGGGAGGTTTTAGTGAGTGTGGTTTGTGTGGCCACCACACACAGTTGCTCCCTCACACCATCTCTTCCGCAGCCACAGCCACCTCCCGCCCTCCCGCGCCCCCACATCGGAACCACTAGTCTGTTCTCTATCTCCGTATCACTGCAATGGCTCTATAGACGAGAGCAGGTGCTCCCAACACGGAATAAAAAGACAAGTTTATTTTGATATACAAATGCTTGAAATTCGTGCATGGCATTTTTCATGAACTTTCTGAAGACTGTCACAAACAGAATCCTGCAGATTCTACAGGAGATCAACTTGTCTGCTCAGCACAGCTTGCTTGAGATGCACCCACGCTGCTGCTTTTCAGTGGCGATCAGAATTCCGCACTTTCTGAAAACACAGCAAAGCAAGAAAACATCCAGAGGCCTCACGGGCTCCAGCTGCAGGGGTGCACAGGGTGCCCCTGAGGTCTGTCTCCATCGAAGCCGTCAGGTGGAACAGCGAGCCAAGGACAGGGAAGAGAGGTGCGCAAAGTCATCACACACACCCGGCTCTCATTTCTTCCCGACGTGCAGGCACTTTGCTTTTCTTGCTTTTTTATTTTTCATGAATGCTGCCTTCAAAGCCACCACTTCCTCTGTTGGATGATGCTTGTGAACAACAATGGCTTTACGGAAAAAAATCAAACTTTGACAACAAAAAAGCTGCTCTCCTGGACTTCTGGTTATGGGCAAGAGAGAGCAGACAAGCCTCTCTCCTCCACCTTCTGAGAACCATGGAAACACTGGTATAAATCCTGAAAGACTTGCAGTGTGCAGAGACTGATCTAGACGGACGACCCCAGGACGTGCGGGATGACAGGTAGGCTCTGCGAGTTTTCCTTTTGGCTTCTTAAGTCTCAGACTGAGTGCTGGGGAGGTCACACACCCAGAAACGCCAACAAGCACAGACAAAGCGCCAAGAAAAGCCCTGTCTGACCAGCCAAAGGACCAGGAAAAGGCCACTCTAACTTTTTTCTAATGATCCACCCGTTCCAGCTAAACATCATGGGGGGAAAACGTGACCCAGCCTCACACTCACTAGCCAAGACTGAGTAGAAAATCCAGACTTCCACCTTCTTCTGGTTGTAAGAGGCACCCGGCCACTGACCCTCCCCAGCCCCCACCAAACCGTCACCACCAGGGTGACATCAGACAAGGCCAAGTGAGAGCCAGGATTCCATCCGCGCCTGACAGTAAGGAAACCTGTCCCTTCCCCACTGCGGGGTCAGCGCAAGGCACATGGAGGTCCTGGGCGCTCAGCCCCACACAGCAGTAGCCAGGCCTTCCGAGCCAGCTCAAGGGTCAACAGGGTAGAATGGCGGCACCTGCACTTCCCTCTCGGTTGTCATTGGCAACACAACACTCTGCCACCTCTGCCAGCCTTCCTAAACAGAGCGCCTTCAGTGAGCAATGGTGGACATGCTTGAAATACATGAAAGAGTAAAAAACAGTTCTATACCCAGAAGAAATTAGTATCAGACAGACAAGAACAAAAGAGTTAATGAGAGATAGCTCATAGCGTGGCTTCTCGTAATACAGAAATCTCCGAATATCTGCCTCTGAAGGATGGATAAATGAACTGTAACATGGTCACACAATGGAATACTTTGCAGCAGTAAAGATGGAAGACTGTAGTAAACTGCAACAGTGGGGTTGGACCTGCAGAACAAAATACTGGGGAAAGAGAGCAGCTCCCAGAAGATTCTATATTCACACTCTACAAGAGCTCCAGTTCAAAAATCTATGCCCAAGACATTGTAGAACCATGCACAGGAATGCTAAACATAAAATACAAGACATGGCTGAACACCAGGTGCGGGGGTGCAATGGGCAGGCTAGGGGAGGAGGACACAGGTGCATGTGAGTGATTCTAACAGCTCAGTTCTTGTATTAATCAGTAAGTTCACAGACGTTTTAAGAATATGGTCATGTGTTTTTAGAGATACATGAATGCATACAGACAATGTTTAAAACAGAAGGCCTTATTTATATAGAGATGCATGCTCACAGTAAAGATTAAGATTTGTAAAGATTGGGGCCAGCACTGTGGTGCAGCAAGTTAAAGCCCTGGCCTGAAGTGCCGGCATCCCATATGGGCGCCGGTTCTAGTCCCAGCTGCTCCTCTTTCCATCCAGCTCTCTGCTATGGCCTGGGAAAGCAGTAGAAGATGGCCCAAGTCTTTGGGCCCCTGCACCCGTGTGGGAGACCAAGAAGAAGCTCCTGGCCCCTGGCTTCAGATCAGCGCAGCTCCAGCCACTACGGCCATCTGGGGAGTGAACCAGGGGATGGAAGACCTCTCTCTGTTTCTACCTCTCTCTGTAACTCTTTCAAATAAACAAAATAAATCTTAAAAAAAAAAAGATTTGTAAAGATTAATATTTTTGTGCTAAAATTAAAAGTATATTTCCATGGATACTATTTTTTAAACTCAACAAACCTTATGGGATGCCAGTGCCGCAGGTGGCGGCTTTACCCGCTATGCCACAGCGCCGGCCCCTGGCAAAGCTTTAGTTCAAAATATAAGAAGTAAAAATGTTTGATTGTAATACAATGGTAGCTGGACACACATGAGAAAAAAAGGAATAAAATAAGCTATCTTAATTTTTATTTACAGATGTGTCGTTTCATTTAGGATCATGAAGTGGATTTGATTAAACACAGGTTCACGGGGGCTGGTCTCGGGGGCAGGCGTTGTGGTGCCATGGGCAACCTGCCACTTGGGACATCCACCTCCCATATCCGAGTGCCTGAACTGGGTCCTGCTGATGTGCACTCTGGAGGCAGCAGATCACGGCTCAAGTACTTGAGTCCCTGCCATCCACGTGGGACACCCAGATGGAGTCCAGTTCAGTTCCTGGCTCCTGGATTGAACCTGGCCCAGCCCTGGCTGTTGTGGCCATCTGGGGAGTGAACCAGTGGATGAAAACTCTCTTTCTCCCCCTCTCTCCCTTCCTCCCTTTCAAATAACTTAAAATGAATGAACTGTTTTTAAGAGTGGGGGTCACGCTGGGGTTAGAAGGGTGACTTCGTGCTGAAGCCTCTTCCCTTGGGGCTCACGGCCTTTCCCTTGAGTGCCTGGTGGAATGGGGTGACGTCATCAGTGAATCACGGCAGAGGCTCCGGAATCTTGGGAGGCATTTGACCCGACACTTGGATACGGTCAGGGCTGTTCTCACTCGGCCACAGGGCTGTGCTCTGGTAAGTATGAACCCAGCCTTGAGGGCCTGCATCTCAGGAGAGCTCTCGGGGTACTCATTCGGACTGGACATGACTCAGCTCTGCAGTGGGCTCTCTTGGATCTGACTCACGCCCCTCCAAGGTGTCTGGGGTTGTAGGAGGGTTCACGTGGGTGTGCCCTCTTGAACTTGTAGGGGAGACAGAACAGGAGAGATGCAGGCAAAGGGCAGAATGACAAATGCAAACATGGACCAGACAGCAGCCTCGGGAACTTGGGAGCCCTGGGGAGAGTGGGAAGCAGAGAGAACAGAGGGAGACATCGCGGGGGGATGAAGTGGCTCTGCCTTCCTGTGGGGGGACCAGCACGGCCTCAGCCAGCTTCCTGGGCCATTTCAGACGAGAACAGGCCACTCTGGGAGTATTTTGGGGCCAGGCTTGATTGCCCATGAACTTACAGTGGTTCCTAAGGATATTTAGGTAGAGCTGATGAAAAAATAATAATAATAATAAAGTGTGTGAGGTCAGCCAGTTGACCCTACTGGAAACATGACTGAGGCCCAATGTTGCTGCCACCAGCCACTCTTCCCTTGAGCACTTGTCACACATGGATACTAATCCCACATCAAAGTGCAGCAGCCATGGTCAAGGGACACACTCACGACAAGCCATTGTCTTCTCACCTTTAAGTCGGGGGTGTTATAAACCTTACCTCTCAGATGATAAGGACGAAATGTGGTTAAGTCTCAGTGCACAGGCCAACAAAGTTTAATAAGCAATCAGTCACTCTTAGCTGCCATTATTGCAATTCTAATAATTAATGTTTTTCATAAGAAGCAGGTGATTTAAGGTTTTCATGTTTTTTATATATATATTCAGAGAAGACGGGATCTCTATGAGATCCATATCAGCTGCCTTGGAGATTGCTCAAAGCCAGCAGAACCCAGCAAAGAAGGGTCAGGTAAAAGGGTGTGCCTGGGCCGGAGGGCAGGTGCGTGGCAGCGGCGGGCCCCTTGCCCTGCTTGCTGTGTGAGTGAAGATGAAGGCACGTCTCAGCCCAGCACCGCTCACTGTCTTCCCTCTGCTCTCCTGAGTTGAGTTCTGCGGGGGAGCACAAAGGTGTGGCCGGTGAGTCAGGAGGTCCCTCTCTTTTTCACTTGTGCAGCCATGGAAGACACCAGACCTGTGTCCACAGGAGTGTCCTCCAGGGACCATGATGCACTACGAGAGGCACCGGAGGGCAGCCTTTGCCCAGGGAGCACAGGTAAATCCTGGGCCCTGTAGACAGGTGCGCATGGAATGCGGTCATCTCCCTCACAGCCGTGTCCTCAGATGGCAAGGGCCGCCCTCAGGGCGAGGGAGAGGCGAGGAGTCCAGCACAGCCCGGCCGAGGGCCTGCTGTGTCGGGCGGGGACCTCTCTCCCTGCAGACCCACAGGACAGCAGCCCGTTGGCCTCCAGTTCTGCCTCTTCGGTCGCTGAGCCTGAGCAAGAATTCAGGGGGAAGAGGGACCGGAAGACGAGGAAATCGGCGGGTGCCCAGCCAGGTGCGTGTCCTCGGTCATACCTCGGCTTCCTTGTCCCCACACGAAGGGGTGGTTACGGCCCAGTGACCGCACTTCGCCCTCACAAAGCAAGGCCTGGTCTTCAGCATGAGTTGTCAGAGAAAGGCCCGGGACCTCCCAGCTGGGTCTCCTTCATACTCACGGGGGCCTTGTGTTCCCTCTGACTCAGCCGCCTTAGAAGCTGTCTCAGAGCTGAAGTCCTGGAGGAAGAGGGGGCAGAGGAAGAACATATGGACTGTCAATCATGTCGAGGGCACAAAACTCAGAATGAACAAGAGGAGAAGACCCAGTTACCGCCCGGAGGACCAAGAGGCCTTCTACCGGCTTCTAGGTGTGCCCTGTGAGCAGGCAGCGTGCCCGGGGGCCCTTCTGAACTGAGAACTGCGTGGATGGAGGGCAGTGGCTCAGCCCACTCTCCGACCACCAAGGAAGTCTCAGAGTGACCCCTGGTTCTGTTGTGGCATGGTGGCTGCTTCCCGGCTGAGCCACCAAGACCCACTCCTGGATTCCCACTGCTCAGCGTCCTAGAGAGCAGAGCCGTCCCAGTACATTTGCGGTTGCTGGAACTGCAAAGCACAGCCTGGGTCATTTATCAAGAACAGATGCTCGTTTAGTTCAAGGCTGGGAGGCTGGGAAACCCAAGGGCATGGTGATGGCACCTGGTGGGGCCTCCACAACCCCAGGGGGCAGCACACAGAGGAGCAGGCATGCTAGCTGGGGTCCTTCTTCCTATAAAGCCACGGGGAGGGCCTCACCCCATGACATCCCCTAATCCTAACGGCCTCCTAAGATGGCCACCTCCAAACAACATTGACAATGAATCTGGGGAGGAAGGTCCTCACACCTGAACTTGGTGGGGAGGGACAATCTCAAATCTCTGCAGTGCTGGAAGGACAAGTGAGATCAAAGTGGGAGGAGGCAAAAACCAAACAGTAGGTGCAGAAGTAGGCTGCCAGCCAGCGATGAGGGCCCCGAAGGAGCTTCTTTAAGAGGCCCTGACACCCAGAGGTAGCTGTGGGTGACAGCGGGAGACTTCATGAAGCAGGAGGTACAGCAGAGGTGACAGCAGGCCCAGAGGAGGCGGGACTGAGCGCGGCAGATTTGGGGACAGCACTGAGGTCATGCTTGTCCCACGTAGCATCCACTAGCCACACGTAGCTTTTTAAGTTAAACTGAGGGAAATAAATGTCTAAAACTCAGTGTCGCTGGCCACGCTGCAAGGGTTCAGGAGGCACATGTGGCTGGTGGCCGCCGTACTGGACAGTGCCAGGACTGAACATCTTTTTTTTTTTTTTTTTTTATTTTTGACAGGCAGAGTGGACAGTGAGAGAGAGAGACAGAGAGAAAGGTCTTCCTTTGCCGTTGGTTCACCCTCCAATGGCCGCCGCGGCCGGCGCGCTGCGGCCGGCGCACCGCGCTGATCCGATGGCAGGAGCCAGGAGCCAGGTGCTTTTCCTGGTCTCCCATGGGGTGCAGGGCCCAAGCACCTGGGCCATCCTCCACTGCACTCCCTGGCCACAGCAGAGGGCTGGCCTGGAAGAAGGGCAACCGGGACAGAATCCGGCGCCCCGACCGGGACTAGAACCCGGTGTGCCGGCGCCGCTAGGTGGAGGATTAGCCTAGTGAGCCGCGGCGCCGGCCGCAAGGACTGAACATCTTCATCGCCACGGACAGTTCTGCTTCTGAACTCTTCTGAGGCCAAGGCTGAGTGGAGACGAGTCAGGGAAAGGGGCCACGACCCTTCCGTCCTGCCTGCTGGACAAATGCCCTTGTCCCAGGTCAGAGGAGAGGGACCCCGGGAGCTGGCCCTCTCAGGGCATCACTGGAAAATGGCCCCTCTGGGGACAACTCTAACCACAGAGGCACCTGCTGGAGAGAGGAGACCCAGGAAAGGGAGCGGTGATGCCCTGGAGCCCTGCCCAGGCGCTCACTAACCACACACGCAGGGAAGCTTCCCACAGCTACAGCACGGTGGTGACTGTCACCACGAGGCCAGAGCCCCATTTAAGCTTCTGAGTGGAGGCAGACTGTGAACTCTGGAAAACGGGGTCGCGTTGTGCAGTGAACAAATGCATCACATCCCAAGGTGACTACATGAGAGAGTCAGGAACAGAATTCACGCCCCACCATGGAAACTCGAGGTGCACAAGGATGTGGCCCAGGAAGGAGCAGTGGCTGTGGGTGGGGTTCAGGCGCATCTCTGTCCTGGAGGGAAGGGAGCTGCTTCTCTCCCAGGGCACAGGGGAACATGAGGCGGTCCAGGTCATCCTCTGCCCCCAGTGCCAGGCTCAGCCCCCCTCCCCCACCCCCCAGGGCTGCTCCACGGCGTCCACGATCCCTCCTTCCCTTGCAGAGGACCCCGTCATCCAGAGCTTCCTGGAAGCTGACATTTTCCTCAAAGTGTCTGACAAGGTACCTGCTGCCCGGAAGTGAGGAGGCCCCGCCCCCGGCCTGGGCTGGGGGTGGTCAGGCCGTGCCTGCAGAGGCCCTGGAGGGAGCTGCGGCGGGTGCTCCCTGCCCCTCTGCCCAGCCCAGCCCCTCACCGTCCTGTCTCCGCAGTACCTGCTGGCCATGGTGGTGGAGTACTTTGGCCGCGTGGGGCTGCCCGGACACCTCTACAACAGGATCCACTTCTTCCTGGCTCTGTGAGCGCCCCCTGGGGGACCAGCTCTCAGATCTGTGCAAATCCCCACACCCCATGCTTCCAGCACCCCACCAGGGGGCCTCAGCAGAGGCCCATGTGCCCAAAGCCCCAGACCATCATCCCAGGCATCACGTGGCCGTTTGGGGGAGGAAACGGTCCTGAGATAATGAACGAGGTGGGAAACGCCCTTTCTGCCCAGGGCACTGAGCTCCCCGAGATGACAACCCTGGGGACCGATGGGTCCCACAGGCTCAGCGTCAAGGCCCCCTTCTAGGGGGTCCCCAGCAGAGAAGCCGTCCCCAGACTGTCCTCCTGGACACACTCCCCCTGGGCGCGGGGTCCCTCCGGCGGGGCCTCTTTCTCCTGCACCGCCCGAGGCTGCCTCTCCTCGTCTCCTGTGGCAGCTACATAGCCTCCGACATGGAGGAGGACAACCCCACGTCCAAGCGGAGCATCTTCCAGTTCCTGCTGGGTAAGGAGCACTGGCCAGACCTCTACAAGGAGTTCCTGAAGCTGAAGGTGGAGTTCTTCCACGCCATGGACCACCGCGCCTGGGTCACCGCAGAGCTGTGCGAGGAGGTCTGTGGGGGCGCCCAGGGAACATGACGGGGACTGGACGGGCCCCTCCCTCCAGGGCTCACCCACTCTGCGTTTTGTTTTCAGATCCAGGCCCAGAATCCACATCACTGGGTCTGGAGCCGGGAGCGCCAGTGCGCCCCCTAGGTTCCCAGGCCTGGGAACGCCGCCGCGGGTGGTGCCATGGGGGCTGCTGATGGCCAGGTGAGTATGGGTCCCTCAAGTGAGTGGGCATGAGGAGGTGGGTCTGCGGTGTCCCGGTCACAGCGTCTTCATGTCTGCCAGAGAGGGCGCTGAGCACTCCTGTGATAAAGTGTTTTATATCCAAGTTCTCCCAATGAACTTGATGACAGAATCACATACCCATACGTGGTCTCCACTTGCACATCCAACTTTCTGGGAAGCCCTCTTGGAAACGCTACTCTAGATAACAACTTCTGTAGAGTTCTGGTCTGAGTTGAAAATTGTAAACATAAATCCATGGAAAACACTGAGGTCTTCCCTTCCGGACTCGGGGCTGCTGCCACCGTTGGCTCTTGGGAGGAAAGAGGCAGATAAATTCCAACATGTCCTCCCACGTCTAGTGCTGTGCTCCCGTATGAAGCAAAGCTGTGCCGGCTGGGCCCTCGGGGGACGTGCTGAGGGTCTCATCTCATCAGGGGCAGAAGCCGCTCCCAGGGCCCTCTGGCCTCTGGAGAAGTAAGATGGCTGGAAACCAAAGGAAAGACATGGACAGAACTGTGCAGAAGGACATGATAGGCGACGCGGTCATAGAAAACGGTCACCTGTCTAGCATCACACTCTTTAGAGAGCACTTTCTCGGGTTCAGATTTCATTTTGTATTTGGATGTACCGAAGTGCGGGGAGACAGCTGCACGAGAATAATCCCGTGAGCACCCTGGCCACGCTGCAGGTGCGACCGAGCCTATTCTGATCCTAGCGAGGAAAGAAAACGGGAGAGAGCAAAGCAGCTCACGTGTGCCCTGGATCAACCTAGTTTGGTGTAAACTTTAATTCAGCTGCAGGCTTTGTATGTGAGAACCACCACGGATGTCAGGAATCTCAAAATTCCAAAGACAAAGAGCAGTCCGTGAGGTCCCTCTTGGGCCTTGTTATCACGAGCAGTGAGGGGGGACAGCTGCTCTTCTAGCTCCTTCGCGATACACGGGGCGATCTCATGCTCAGGGTGGTCTGCCTTCCACCTTGCCTGATCTCACTTCTCTTATTTTGTAGCTCCTGCCCACCCTGACACCCCCTCCCCCAACAAGGAAGTGACTGCCTTTTCCCCGGCTCCAGGCACTGGCAGAGGGGCAGCAGCTGGCCCCCAGCTTTCCTCTAGCCCTGCCAGAGTCCAGGGAGAGCCTGGGCCACAGCAGCCCGTCCCCGGGGTGTCAGACCAGCTGAACGTACGCTGCCCACCCCCAGGCTTCACATGGATGTCGGCCAGCAAAGACCCCTGACTCCTGGCTGTCCTGGGAGGGGTCCGGCAGTAACTTGGAGGGGCACGAGGGGAAACCAAGACTTTCAGAGCAGAAGCCACAAGTGACAGGAAGACGGAGAAGGGATGGGAAGTCCAGCAAGAAGCCCGGGCCCCGCAGCGGAAGAGGAACTTGGAGGAAGAAGCCAAAGCAACAACAGGAAGAGGCAAGGAGAGGAGAGGAGACAGGAAGGGGAGAGACACACGGCAAGCAGGGGGAAGGGCCCCTTCCAGACACACAGGGCCTCGGGGGAAGCTGTGCTCAGAGCTCGTCCTGAGCCAAGGGCTGGACTGTCCAGGGAGGCCTTGTCTGGTGGAGACGGCTGGGCAACTTCAGCCACAGCACTGATGGGGGCAGGGAGACTGTTGGCGCGCAGACCTGAGGCTGAAACGGAAGTGGGAGTGAGAGGGGCGAGACCGTATGCAATCATACGATCTGACAAAACGGACACAACCAGCTTCTGTAGTGAGAAGAGGAAAGGAGGAGAAGAGGCGAGAAGCGGTCAGGGCCCAGGGCGTGAGCAAAGCTGGGAACAAGCAGAAGCCGAGGTTGGAAAAGAGGGCTCAAGGTGTCCTGTGAAGATTGGCTCAAAGCAAACGGGAGCTGTCCTAAATGCTGAGAGCCATGAGCCGACGCAGTTCGCCAAGAGCAAAGAAAACAGACCAAGAGACACACACATATTTAATAAATATTAAAAATAGGACACGACTGGGATCTGCCATACGACTTGTATTAATAAATTTGAACTCTACTAAACAAAAAAGAGCTTCAGACTGACTCCCAAAGCGACACCTGGCTCTACACTGTAAGTGATGAGACTCAAATGACTATGAGGTGCCCAGAACAAGTCGGGGGGAGGGGGAGGGTGGGGAAGGCAGGTGTTCCAAGGAAACTTGGAAAAGGAGAGTGGGAATTGTGAGCCTGACACTAAGAAAAGGAAGGCACAAGCTCAAACCCCTCCTAAGAGCCCAGGAAACACATGTTGGAGGGGAGGTGCTGGGACGGTCTGTGCAGCCAAGCCCAGGGAAGGCTATTAACCGTGACCCAGGGGCCCGGGCAGGTTTCTGAAGCTTGATTTGCCCTGCTCAGGTTTTTCAGCTCTCTCTATGTACATCACTTTTAGGTAGGAAATTGTATTAACTGAGCTTCCTACAGGAAAAATAACTGCAGTGGTCAGACAGAAATTTTTTTCTTCCCATGGGAAGAATTGATTTTGTCACATCTCCTAATAGCTCCAACATTCCCAGGGACGTCACAGCCAGCAACACAGCTGCCATGCAACCCTCTGTATCCCACAAGCATCTGGCATTTGCTCTCCGAGTCATCTGGAACCTTCTAGCAGCAAACAATGACAGTTTCATGATCTGTGAGGTCCACGCGAGGCTGCCCTCGGAAGTTGGGGCTGGGAATAGTCTGGTCCGGGGTGGTTTGTCCTCAGGTGGTGAATCCAGAACCAATGAGACAGAGCACACAGGCTCTCATTCCCACACCAAGGACTCAGGCCCTGGGAGGTTGGACACCAGTCATGCCAGTCCTCAGCTAACAGAGCCCCCAGGTCTGAACAAGAGCACATGCATTCTGTAGTCAGTTCTCCCTTGGATCCAGGTGAGGGAGAAGCCCCAGGCAGCTCGGAGTTTACCCTCCCTCCCGGTCTGCCATGACCCAAAGCCAGGACTCCAGGAAGCCCCAGGTGGCTCCTTCTGAGCAGCCCTGCTCAGAGGTCAGCCCTGGTCGGGCTCCCCTTTCTTGGACTCCACAGTCAGCGGGATGGAAGAGCCACACACACATCCCTGCACTCACTTCCAGGGCTAGAATGCAGAAGAAGCCAAGAAAGCTAAGCCTCCAGTGTCATGGCAGTCAGCAGCAGCACTGGCCCATTGGCAGGGACACGGGTGTCAGGGTCAATGGGAGCATTGCTTACAAAGTGACGTTAGGGGTCTAAGTTTGTCCTCGTCTGGGACCTGGTCTCAGGACAGAACCTGCGCAGAGGTTGTTGGCTGCTGTGTCTCCCTCCCTGCCCATTCTCCCCGCTTCCTGCTCCCTAGTACCTCCTCCACCTGTGCCTCCCCCTTCAGTCACTTATAGACCACAGCCCTGCCCTGAGCAAGGTTTGACAGGCACTTTTCTGGTCTGTTCCCGCCGCATCTCAGCACCTCCTGTATTAGAAACGCAGCCTTGCTTTACGGAGAGTTTGGCTTTGCTTTCAAAGGCCCCTTGGCCCGAGTCCAAGCTAGGTGTGGTTCTCTGCCCTTGCACTTCCCCAAGTCTGACTCTGGTCTAGAGACAGGGTCTGTGGACTCCCTGCTTCCCAGGCTGGACTGGGGGAGCCTGGGATAAGGACAGCGCTGTCCCCAGGGGCTGCCTGCTCTGCATCCACTCTCCCTAGCCCCAGGACTGCCCTCAGGGGACCTCTCTTCCCCCACTGGTGGTCAACATGGTTCAGATGGGCTGATTCCATCCTGTTCAGGGGCAGGCATTTCATTTATTTACTCATTCACGTGAGCAGCTCATCAGACCTAGTTCCAGGCATGAAGGATAAAGCAGGGAACGACGCCAGTTGATTTCCGGTTCCTGCACAGCTGACATCGCAGTAGTGGAAGTAATGAGTACCAAACATCCTAAGTGCTGAGTGTTGCGGAAAAGAATAAAAGGAGCCCCTCTGGCTATTGCACTCCTTGAACTGACCCAGGGTGAACTTGGACATCACCTTGGCCTTGGGCTCCATTCTTAGACTTGGACCCTAATGCCAAGGGTTTGCCTGCACCTGAGCTACAAACAGCCATTCCCCAGGAAAACGTGCCTGAGAGTAAACCAGTCCACAGGAAAGCAGCACTGAACCGCTCAGTGGAGAGTGGCCCCGTCCAGCAACATCATTTAAACCCCTGGATCCAGCTGAGCCCAAGGCCCCAAGCGCTGGCCTTTTCCAGTTACCTGAGCTAATCTAAATGCCCTTCTTCTACTTGAGCTTTTAGAGCTGAGTTTCCGCCATTTGTAATCCAAGATCCCTGATGGAGACCAAAGCAGATGTCTACCAGCCCCCCTTAAATGTCAGGGTTTCATGAGGTTAAGACTCCACTGGTTTGGAAAGATCATCCCTCCTGGGTAAGGTTTGGTGTCCAAGTCTGGCACCTGTCTTCCTAACACACTGGGCTGGATCACTTTAAGAGAAACTTTGAACTACAGCTCTGCTCCTGCTGACCACCTTCCCATCCTCACTGCTGACCCCAGCTACCCACCCCCATTGCTGTTCCCTCATCCAATTGGGGCTCCTTTGGCCCAAGACCCCTTCCCCCATCTCTGCTGGCCAATCCTCTCTCTCTACCCTAGTTCAGCTCATGTCCATTCGTCCCCCCAGACAAAAGTCAGGGAAGGCTCCCGCCCACCACAGACAGGCAGCAGCTGCTTCCCTCAGACCCAGAGGCCCGGTGTGCCCTTCTCTCGGCTGCTGTTAGAGGCTCCAGGCGCCCAGGGGTCTTCCAGTATCTGCTGGGTCCTTTCTGCTGTGGGACAAGCAGGAAAGGAAGGGAACGGACACATGCGACCTCTCCGGGGGCCCCTTTCTTGGTCCTTGGAAACAGATGTAGAATGTCCTGCCCAGAACCCCTGACATGCTGCACCCTGGCTGGGAATGCAGGCGGAAGCTCTCTACGGCAGCGACCTGAACTGTCCAGGCAACCAGTTCTATGTGTACTGATAGGAATTCAAACAGCGAGGTTTCTGACAGTCCTTCATTTTAGAAAACAAGCTCTGTAAGAAAGCCACACGAGCTGGGCCCTTTATAGCCACACACGCGGTTTCCTGTCCACGTGGCATGTGGATTGATCGTATCTGTTGAAGGCAGCACTGACACCCAGGGAGACCAGCCCTGCGGCTGTGAGGCCATCCCAGCTGGAGGGCGCAGGGTGGTAGGACTGCGGAGAGGCTGGGGTTCCAGAGGAGCAGCTGAGGGTTGGGGGTAGAAAAGGAAAGGGAGCAGCATCCCAAGTGCGGGGAGGCCAGTGGCGCGGGCCAAAGTTCTACAAGCAAAGCCTGGGTCCTGAGAAGTGGGCAGTGGAGGGGTTCAGGGAGGGGGCAGAGTTTACATCTGGGTCACGGCATCCCACAAGGCATCCCAGGGCTGGCTCAGGAATCATGCAGAAAGCATGTTGATCCGGGAGGCAGGTGGAGCACGCAGAGGATGCAGAAGCCTCCGCAAACCCGCCAGCGGCTCAGGGGCGGGGACACGTGTTGCCACTGGTAGTACCTTCCTGCAGTCGGGAGTAGCATCTACCCTGTATCTGCTGTGGCCAGCACAGGAGAGTAGTAATGGCTCAGCCTCCTCCAGGTTCCAGACTCACTCAGCATCTCCCGCTAGCAGATGCTTACCTGGCTGGCACTGCAGGGGAATCGCAGTTCAAGGCCAAGGAGAAAGCTGAGGAGACGGCAAAGACGCCCATGCACAGCGAGTAGTGAGATGATCCACAAACCAACTAGTGCAGCAGACAGGGAAGTTGGGAATGAGGCGACACTGCAGAGGGCACCCTCGCCTTGCCTGGGGATTTGCTGCAGGGGCCACTCACACATGGACTGGAGTAAAAGCAGGGGAGACGCAGATCCGGCACCTCCTTGTAGACTTCACGAAATTTAGAATAAAGTTCTTATCTTAAAATTCTAATTTCATGTTATAATGTACCACGCAAGCCAAAAGGAAGTATTTTTCGTTGAGAAAAAGAAAATTTTAAGTTAAGAGGGTTATGTGACTAAGAAAGCATCACAGAGACTAGTTCAGTGATTCTAACGCCAAGAAATTATACGAAGGCCTTTGTTTTTCCAAAGATGCGCAGAGGAAGAAGAGTTCATTTGTCGGCTTTTCAAATGTGTTCATGAATCAGCCAAGCCCCTTTCACTTGCGCCCAGGCACTGCCTCCTTCTAAAAAGGCAGGCAGGAATGATGGGGCTCAGGGGTGGTGGAGGCAGTAGTTGGGAAGCCCAGCCTGGTGACGGTTTGATGGGGAGTGATGCAGCTTTGGGACAGCCACCTCCCCGAGCCGCAAGGGGTCTCCACTGTAGAATGAGGAGCAGCACCAGATGCCATCTAAGGGGTCTTCCAGGCTGACCGTTGTCGCAGGTGCCTGATCAACGGTTCCCCTTGTCTGGGAGTCCGGCCCCTCCTCAACAGCCTCTACTCCTCATCCCGGCCTCTTTCATCCATGCACTCAAGATAGAGCAAAGCAAGAGGACTATGCACAGGCCAGTCCATGCAAAACACAAGCAACAGGATCATTTCTGGGATTTTTCATTTAAAAGAATTTTTCTGTAGTTTGTGATCGTAACAGGGGGCTCCTGGGCAGCCGTCGTAGGCAGGAAGAGACTGAGCACGGTGCCTGTGTGTGGAGGCCTCTAGCCCAGTGTACTCATCAGGGCAGCCACTGCTCCAGCCTCCCCTCCACTGCCTTCCACTGTTGCTTGAAAACGACACGTACTAGACAGAGGTGATCAGATTCTGTCCCTTCCCCCAGAGTTTGGGGAGCTCTCCACACAGTAATACATTTCCCACAAATTTGGTCAGTATCAGAATGTGGGAACTCCGAGGGGCGGGACCGCCCTGGACTTCCCTCAGAATCAACACCCACCCATTCTTCTGCAGTTCCTGCCTCAGCTCCCACGTGCCCTGGCTTCTATCCAAATCCTGGCTCCACTCTCACCTGTGCACTTAGCCAAAATGCTGGCCTCCCACCGAGCGGTTTGCATTGTGATCTTCAGACTGAGATGAGAAACCTCCACTTCTTGCAT